TCTTTTACAATGCTTGACACAGTACGAATCATGTGAGTATATATAGACATATTTGAAAACAAATCTTAAGTGTCCATCCTTGTCCCTTCATCTTTGACACTTAAAATTTGTTTTCAAATATGTCAACTAAATCAACATTTGTAAATTCTACATTTTTCCTATTTATATTCAATTCCAAATCATCCATTCAAATTCTGTTTACTTTTAACTCAAAACTTCAAATTTTGACATGGCCAAGAATCGATGGCGTGTGAGTCAGGCACGTTTCTGACTGAGCTACTCCCGCCATATTAGCAAAACATAAAATTACATTTTTCATTTTTTTAAAATACATTGTTTTTTTTTCAAATAATATTTCAATTCACAGATTTGTTTTAACCTTCATTTATTTAAAAACATTTGTTTTTATAGTTTCGGTACCGAGGAAAAGTAGAACTGGAACTACAATGTCAGATAAAATTTATAGGCCAATTTTCCCGTAAAATAAACAACATAGCGTTGTTATGGCATATATATATATATATATATATATATATATATATATATATATATATATATACTAATAATATACGAAATACATCAATTACTTCCAAATATTCAATTACAGTAAAACAATGCAAAATAATGAAATCCATCACTTTTATGACTGATGAATGTTGGCAAATAGACAAATTCTAAAACGACCATAAACTCAATGCTATCGGTTGTAAATTTATTTCAGTAATTTCAGTATATAGTCAGTATTCTAATAATAATCTCAAAATACAATTTTAAAGTTTACTCGTGGATTAAGAAAATATATGATTAATTGTTGTGCTTAATATAATGCATTACTAAAACTATAACTTTGAACTATTAACTTTTAAAATTTTTTTTTCGAAACTGCTTATTTACTAAAAACTTGTCTGAATTATCATTTAAGCTCTTAAGCAGTTCGAAATATGGTGAATGTCAATTTAGTGAGAAATAAAACTATTAATAAGTAATGTGAATAGATTATAACAATTTTAGGGTTTTTAATTAATAATTAATAGTTTTTAGTCAATAATTATGGTAAATTTATAATAATATAATAAGATATAGGAATTATGATATAGGAACAACTTTGTTATTGAATTTCACACACATCACAAAATATACATAGGTTTGTATTTGTTTAAGTAAAGTTAAATAATGGTAAATGAAGTTAATAGCAATAGAACGAATAAAATGATATATTACTAAATATCTAACCAAGAATTTTTTGTTTATTTATATCTATCAAAAATTATAATTTTTAAATACTTGACTTAATATTAAACAAAAAAAAAGTATTGAGTCATGGCATCGTACCTTATGGCAAATTGCCGAAAATTTTGTAAGTTTTGAAAAAAATCCGACTTTGAACATTTTCAAACTTTTTGAGAATGTTGAAATCCATTGAAATCGGTTGATCCAAACTGTCGAAAATGTGAACTTTAAACATTTATCTTGGTACCGAATTCATAGAAATCGAAACAAATATTGCATTCAATATTAAAATCATTAAGTTATCTGATAATTTGATGTTCATACGTATATCTAATGATGATTTTGGATCTTCAATTGGCATTTTTTCAACTTTTATTATCTGTATCTCCAAAATCTTTTCCAAAGCCTTTGAAAAACCAATCAATTTTTCATTTCGTCAATACAAGTAAAATGTTTTATGAATCATTCAAATCGGACGCTTAGTTCTCTCAAAAATTAAATTGCCAATTTTTTGCACACTTTGTCTCGTATCTTTGAAACACCTGGACACTTGCCTTTGCAAAAAACTAACCAGCACGTCTCCCCATCAATAGGAATCGAATGTTTGGTGAATAATTCAACTGGGTTGATCCTTGCTCTCGAAATCGTCGACGAAAATTTGTATCTGCATATATACGAGGTCTGTTCAAAAAGTACCCGGAATTACTAATAATTAAATTTCGCGGGTCTGGAGTGTCTGATTGGCAAAATTTTTTTTTTATTGTGTTGGTATACATGCCCCTAAAGTATGATGAAATTTTCAGCTATATTCACTGTTTACTTTGTCTGTGGTAGTCGCTAAGGTTCGACGTGTTTTTTTGAGCTCGGCGATTTTTACAATGGAAGAATTGAAAAGTCAAAGAATTTGTATTAAATTTTGCGTAAAAAATGAAATAAAGTGTTGCAAAAATTCACCAGATATGGCTCCGTGTGACTTTTTCCTATTCCCAAAGTTGAAGAGACCCATGAAAGGACGGCGGTTTTCCTCGATTGAAGAAAATCGCTGAGAGTGCTCAAGGACATATCAAAAAGTGAATATCAAGGGTGCTTCGAAAATTGGAAAAAACGCTGGCATAAGTGTATTATATCTGGGGGGGGGACTACTTTGAAGGGGACCACATTAATGTAGACGAATAAATAAATATTTTTTTGAAAAAACGAAAATTCCGGGTACTTTTTGAACAGACCTCGTACGTGTTTATTTTCGAATTACTAGCGAATACTATAACTTACTCTACGGAAAATTAACTAGTTTCGGCGTATATTGCAAAAAGTTTATCGATATAGAGATACATTTATTTAAAACGATAGTTATTGTTACTATTATCAGTATTATTAAAACAATTATTATTGTATTATTATTATTAGATATAAGTTTCAAATACCCTTTACAAAAATATTTTGCATATAATTGCAAACATTTTTCGTTAATGATTATTGACTTCAATTCACACTTGTAAGAAATTATTCCAATGGCCTTACAAGTATCATAATTACCACTAATAATTGTTAATACGATCAAATCATTATTCACTAGCTGTCGGTTAGTTGGATGAGCAATGTCTCCATTATGCTCAATTGAGCGGACAATTATTTCCTTCTAAATCGCAACTGCATTTGTAATTTTCCGACACACGGTCGGAGAAGAGAACGTCGTAAATATTAATTAAATTTATAATTTATGCGCTCGTAAAAAGCTCTGTGACATGTTTAAAATGGCGAGATGTTAACGACTTCAAGAATGCACATAAAGCATTACTAAATGATTGTCCTCTAATACTAAACGCTATGCTAAGGGCACGTTTGACGACGGAAGAGTTCATAATATATGATTGCTTCAATTGCTTCATTTATTCTAGTTGGTTTTATAATAATCTGTTATGCTAGTTTAGTTATATTGATTATTGATGAATAATAATTCACCGCAGTATGTAATTATTTGCAAAATATATCGGTTGCTGGTTTCAATAATTGAATGTAATTGCGCATTGAATTGTGCATATTGCTATTTCATCAACTCGTTCGATAAAATAATATCGAAGGTAACTTTTGATTTACACGTTGGAATGTGGGTTTTTTTAACATAGGAATATACATACACATGAAAGAAGAGATACACACATATATATTTAATTCTTGTATCATGTTAGTGGCAATACTCCGCCGAAACGGTTTGACCGATTTTTATGAAATTTTATAATCAGGTTTAGTATGTTTGAGAATCTGCCAACAACTATTTTATATGCTTCTAAATGGCAAGGGTTGGCCACCCCTAACATTTTTTTAGTTTTTGGACCAATTTCTTGGAAATCTTGGAAAATGCCTTTTTCTTTCGCTCGCATTTAGAATATGCCACTGATTAGTCAGTATATTTGTTCATTTTTTGTTGTCATAATGGTTTGTTTTTTCTATAACATTGTCCAATAATTCATTTGTTAAATATAAAGTAAAATAATCTATTGGATATCTTATATTGCTTGGTATTTGTAGTCGGGGTGTTCGTTGATGTAAGTCAAACTCTCGATTATTGAAGGAGAATCGGCACATTCGCTATTGTCTTTCCACTTTTCATCTAATTTCTCGAACTCTTTCTTCTTTTTGTTGGTTGGATAATATCATCATCACAATCATCACTATCTTCGGTGCAAATAGTTATTTCGTAAATTTTATCTGTACGAATGTCTATTTGAAACTCATCTTCACCACTGCTTACTTCACAAAATTTACCAGTCGTTTTGCCATATTTAGAAGCGCTCGGTAATTTTTAATATTTAAATAAAAAACAATATAGCAAAGAAAAAGACTAAAAATTTTACTAAAATAACTTAAAATTATTTTCAAATTACAACACTGTTTATCACTGCTACATGTAATTTATTCAACATTTCGATACAAACTGAGTCATTGTTTATAAAATAGCCAGTGTCTCACAGAGTATGTTTGTCCACTCAGGTGGACAGCCGTCCTTAAAGAGTTGATATTCATGTTTCTTATTTTACTACAAATTTTAAGAGATTGTTTACAGTAAAACAAAAAAAATGTTATTATTAATAATCAGGTTTCTTATTTTACTACAAATTGTAAAAGATTGTTTACAAATTTTATTTTATTATTTATACTTATTATATTATTTCCTATGTTCATACTAATAATAATAATTATAATTTTGAAATGATCTTCTTACATAAGATTTCGGGGCCTTTTCTGCCATAAAATAGACTGTTATGGCAGGACTATGTTACGTAGCAGTTTTTATACAAAATGGTAATAAATACTGTCAAAATACCATGTATTTCCTGTGCAACAATACGACGTTTCATACCTAAAATGCAACTTCACTCGTATGTTATTTTGCCACACCGCAAATATGCAGTTATGATGATACAGTTTTTTTGACATTTGTGCGTTTCTTAGGTTAGGTTTTATATTTAAAACTCTTGACTGCATAGCAACCACATGGCTTTTGGCAGTATTATAAAATTAGTCGATTTTACGGCAGAATCAGCTCCTTAGAGCATTTGTTGTTCATAAAATAAAAGTTCCAACAAACTAAATTAAAAATATCACTCAGAAATATTAAATCTAATAAAACCAAAACTAGTAACTTTAAAATGATTAATTTAATATTTTGCGCTGGCCATGAAATGCAACTATGTAACTAACAATATATATGTGAAGAATTTTCTCAAGTTTTATAACTTTATTATGATTCACTTTGTGGTTATGTGCAGGCCGGCATGCCAGAGTACTCTCTTCTCGGCGTGGGAATGTTTCCTGCAGGAGGTGGAGGCAGATTCACAAGGATACACTGATATTGCAAACACTCTTGCTAGACAGGTCAGTGTCGATTCGATTTATTTTCTTTAAAATTTATTCATTGATATCGGGAAAAATAGAGGTTTCTATGACTAGATTAGAAATACTATATTTCTTGACTTGTTATTTCGATTAGAGTTATTTCCAACGGACGATAATTTGTGGCTTTGGTAATATTGCTACTTGAACACTTACAGCGTATTTACTCCAACCGCATAATAATTATTCGTATTGTGTTTTGCGTAATTCTATGAATTAATATTGGTAATGGGAGCTTTAAGCTGTTGAAATGGTGTGAAAATAAGCCTCTGAATTAATCATTTGAATTAGGTGAAAATAAGCTTGTGAAGCTGAAGTTTAATTTTATTTATATCAACTAATTTAATTAATTATTAAAAATAAGGATTGATTTATAAACTTATAGCTTTGATACTGAATTTTGTTATTCTATTAATAAGAAATATCACACATATATTTCATAAATTATTAACTACAAATTCCTCATGACCAGTTTACTCAGTTGAAAGCGCCAAGAAAATATAAACTTCTTCTTAATTATTTATTGCCATATAAATATATGGCAATATATATGGTCGACGATCTTTCTTTATGAATTATGTTCAATCAATATCAAAAGTGCGGCATAAATATATATTTACTAGTTCGTGATGTAAAATTTATTATTATGATTTTAAGTAAAATCTTGTACTGATATGTATACTTCTTCTTATACTTATCCTTTTACTGATATAGTAATATTTAATACAAAAATTTTCAGTTTTTATTCTAGCCGGAAAATAATCGAAATGTTGGAACATTACTCTTACAATAAAACATAGTTTTTATGACTTTACAGAGCTAGAATATTTTTTAAAATTGATTCAATGTATACGTTATTGACATAGACTGATCAATTTTATAAAGTTTCCGTAGGGCAAGTTATAGTAATCGCAAAAAAAAAATCGACAAAGAAAATTCTTGCATATCTTTACGTTTCACGACCCTCTGAACATTTTGGCATACTTCTGAAAAAAAATTATGTATGTGTAGTATGTGTTTCGTATGGATACAATTTTTTGTCCACGAGAGCAGAGATCAGCCGATTTAAATGATTCAAAAAACATTCGATTCCTATTTATGAAGAGACGTGTTGATTAGTTTTTGGCAAAGGGCCAACCGTTTCAAAAAGTTTACATTTTATGATCTCAAATGATCATTAAAAACCATTATTATTGATTCATACTTAGCTAGGTTGTTACTTATACAGGTTAAAAAGTAAATTATTAGATAAGTAGGTAAAGATATAGAAATCAAGTAAGTATTGATTAAATTCACACATATCGAGAAGTTCATACAACTTGTTTTAACGCAAAATTTTACTTACACTTAGCTAGAATTGCTATTACATTATGTATATTATGAAACGTGTACATTTTTCTCATAAGATTGACAAATATTTATATTACTTTGTTCTTGACGAGTTGTCTGTAACTTTCTTACATCGTCAATTGATACATATACATATCTATTTATATTCAAAGATGTAAGAAATGTTTGTTTTATATTTACAATTTTAGATATTAGATATAAATAAAGCTAACCACTACCTATCTAATGTAATTATGCGTCACTTTGGATTAAAATAACAAATTCTTAGAAATGAGGCATAACACATATGTCATCGCCTAAATGTAACGACCAATAATCGTAAAATAGATCTACTGTGTATATATATATATATATATATATATATATATATATATATATATATATATATATGTATAATGAAAACACATAGTACTTACTTTTTAATCATAAGTATACTAGCGCACGCAATGAATTTTTGTAGTCGACTTTGTGGTATGAATTTACTGGGGAATTAGATACAAAATTTTTGTATTTGCTGAAAATAATACTAGTTGCACTACCAAAATTATTTACATATGTAATATATTCTTTAATTGCAATTATATAAAATTTAATATTTGTAGTGACAAAATGACTTGTTTTTTTTTGATATCTGACTTATGTTTTTGTACACGTTATAAAAATCTGGGTGGAATGTTGTACAATAACTATGTCAGTCATTATATGTATTTTTGATGAAGTCGGATATATCAATTCTGAACTTTTTATCTTCTCATTGATGATGTTCTGAGGTTGTTCCTTTTTGTTACCTCATGGTTTGCCATAATCGTAAATGAAATGAAAACAAACTCGAAGAAGTTTGTTTTAAAATAGTTCGGACAGAGTTACATATAGGAATTAATGGGAAGTAATTATTAGAGAGTGCTTGAAAATGTTAATTCAAATGTAAGTTTTGCGTTGGATTGAGGTATAAGTTTGACTTATTTTTTAGATAAAATTAAAATTTATAAGACTTATTATTTGAGTAAATATATAATTAGCAGCCAATTTGTCCAATTAATAGACGGGATAATAATTCATGTTTTCATTTACACGTTATGCGACTCATAACGTGTCATAATTCTGAAAATAATACCAGGAAAAACAAAGCACAAAATTAAAACAGTTTTTTGATTAAAAACTTTACCTAACAAGAAGCACAAAAACGCAACTACAATTATATAAAAATAAAAATTATAACATTTTTCACTTCCCGTAGGGCAAGTCATAGTAATCACGAAAAAATCGAAAATGAAAATTTGTATATATCTTTACGTTTCAAATGTTTCTGAATATTTTGGCACACCTTGTGTGCGGATACAAATTTCGTCGACGATTTCGGGAACACCGATCAACCGATTTGAATTATTCAACAAACTTTCGATTCGTATTGATAAGAGACGTGCTGATTAATTTTTAGGTATTGGCAGGTCTAGCCGTTTCGAAGATACGGGGCAAAAATAGCCAAAAATGTTAATTCAGTTTTTGAGAAATGGATCATCCGATTAAATTAATTCAAAAACATTTTGCTTAAGTAGACGGTGTGCAAAAACTGTTTTTACAGAATATTTTGTAATTTTAAAAATTAAAAAAATTCAAAGTTTGAAAAACTCAAATTTTAGAAATTTTTCATTTTCAAAAAAAAAAAAAAATAGATTTTGAAAAAAATTAAAAATACCAAAATTAAAAAAACGAATTCTTACAAACATTTAAAAATATTTCGAAATTTTCAAAAAAATCAAATATTTTCAATTCTCAAAAACTAAAGTTTTTTTAAGAAAATCCTAAAAAAAATTTCAAACTTCTGAACGAAAATTCAAAATTTTGAACAAAATTCTAAATTATAAAAAAAATCAAATTTGAAAAAATCAAATTTAATTGGTGGTTGTTGGGACCACCAATGTGATCATAAAATGTGTTTGGGTAGCTAGACCAGAACGGTTGATAAGATAGATACACTGATTGATTGATGTTAATACTTTTATTGTTTACTATTTTACCAATTGAATAATGTATTTGTTAACCTTTGAGTTATCAATAATCAAAGACTACATTCTCCTAAGTAACTATTTAACGAATGAACACTAAGTCTGACTGGACTTAGTAAACTTTTGTCCAACTCTTATATACTAATTTCTTGTTTACAAACAAATTTACAAAATTCAACAGTAAGCACTGATGACTGTGTAACCTACAAATAACTAGCAACGCATTTTGTAATTATTAAACAAAAATAATCATTCGAATTGTTATTACAATTCAATATGTATAAACATATTATTAGCGAGGCTTTGAAACGTAAAGAAATACTAATAATATTTTTGCTAGTACGGAAAGCGATTGACAGTTTCACTCTTTCACGTTTTTCTATACTATTTTCTATAATCTTTTACCTGGACGTCTATTTCGTTTATTCAATAGCATATGTATAGTTTTTTTCCAGGCTATCTAAGGTGCTTGATCTCGCGTGATGCAACGAATTGATATTTATTCGCATGTATGTAAATTGTATGGCGGACGTGGCACCGCTGACCGCTGAATATATTTTCTTTCTGTGTACTCCAAATCGCGTAATACGTTCAAAAATATATATATGACACACATACGAGCTGAGCGCAAAATAAAAATATGTAATATTAATAATAAAGGAATTTTCGAATATTTGTTCAGTGATCAATTTTATGTGTCAAATATGTTTGCTTGGCCCATTCGTTGTGTTTTTGAAGTGTAGTCTAGAATATTATTGTTCAAACCTATAAACACAACCAACCCTTCATTAAAACGGTACTCTGGAAACACGGAATCCATACTACGCGGAGCCGAAAATGCAACACTCCTCCTATAACACGGTACTCTATGTAACCCTAATCTCGCTAAACAGCCACGAGTTCCTTCCGCGCAGCCTATGAATGACTCTAGTAACTACATATAATTGTAAAAAGTTTTATTAATGGTTTTATTTTTGACTATTTTATCTTGTACAACATATTCATATAAACATCCCAATTTAATTAAATATCCATTTAATATTTTACTTATGAAAAAAATATAACTTACATAATGAAAGTAAGTCTAATACATCCTGTGTACTCGTAATTACTCATTAATTATTACATTACATTATTATAGAGAAATGCATGTCTGTAATAATCTTACCATATGACAACAAATAACTAAGTTAATGTTCTTTATAAGATTGTAAATAAAACAGTTTTATGAAAACGATGTAATCAAAATTTTAGTGGAAACTTAACAAGGAGCATACATAATTTCCTGTGTAATAGGGATAACTAAAAGGCATTAAATTTGTTAACTAGAATAACTTAGCAACTAACTAAATATTATATTGCGACGTTGCAATAAATTTGATGACTATTCGTTCTAGCAATGAAAACGCATGCAAATTTTATTCCATGTAACTTCAAGATAATATGTATAGTAAGTGCCATTTTGAATTAATTGAATCGAATCAAGCCCTTAACAAACTGATTCGAATCACATTTCACTTGATACGAATCAACAGGCATCAAGCCGAGAAATATTTAATGTGGTATAATATGTATTAATATGAATTTTAATGAACGTAAATTTTAATAAATATAAATATAAAAATA